GGGGGGGGGGGGGCGTGTTGCGTGTTGCGTGTTGGCGTGTTGGTGTCTGCAGGGAAGACGCCAAACCACGTCAGTCACGTGAGCTGAGCGTGTTTGGATCGTGAGTGGACATCCATCCGGCTGGCTACCATTGATCGATCAACATCAGAGTCGAGTCAGACAGAAAGAGATCAATCAAAAAGACTCGTGTGACACACAGACACTTATAGAGAGAAGGACCAACTATCGATACGTTAGCTGGTCTGTCATTCGGCCACTCACTCCACACACACGCATGTCTCTGTGTCTGTGTGTCTGTCACATCAGCAGCACATTCGTCAGTCATGGGCGAGCTGCCCAATCCGTCCGTCCATCCGTCCATCGTCTACTGGCTGTGCACATCAATCGCACACCCATCCAGTCTACCTCCTAGCTACTTTTCTGCAGCAGCAGCAGCAGCAGCACCAGCAGCAGCCTTGGCACACTCGTCGTCTCCCGCCTTGACAGCGGCATTGTCCAGTGTGCAGTGCCCCCTGCCACTGCCATGGCCGCCGTTGCCATGGCCGTTGCCGTTGGCCGTCGGGAGAAAGTACAGCGGAAACATACCGATGAAGCACCTGAATGAACCGACCAGACCAGCCACGGAGAGGACGAGAACAACCAACAGACCAACTGACTCGTGCGACAGAGTGCGTCCATAGCACTGCTATGCATTCCTGGTTTTACAGGTGCCGTGCAAAGCTGAGAGTGTGGTGTGGCTCTGTCGGCTCACTCACCCGACGCAGATGCCGAGCACCGATCCGATGATGTGCAGGTTCTTGACGGACTGCGACTCGGCCTGCTGGGGGGTCAAGTTGGGAGACGGAACACCTGAACAGCCGGTACACAGCGAAGCGTGTCTGCCTAGGGCAGCACCGGTGCAGCCGCCCGGGTCAAGTACTGAGGCCGGGCAATGCATTCACCCACCGATTTGGTATGAGAAGCGTTCGATGAACCCGCCGGTGACCACACCGGTCGCGCAGCTGATCAGGTTGCCGAAGCCGGCAGACTGCATTCATTAAGGAAACCGTTATGGACAAACCAGGAAGGGCAGCTCTCGGACGGTTCCTGTGATTGCGTGTGTTGTGTTGCCGACCGACCCCTTGACCCACCCCACTCACCGCGAGTGTGGAGAGGCAGAATGCGGCCCCAGCGGTCTTGTCTATCCACTCACCAGCCACCAGCATCAGCTGAAGGAACCAAACCAACAAACGAGCAAACGACCCAATCGACCAAACACACACACACACACACACAGAGACGCCGTTCTTCTCTCTCTCTCCATGTGTGGTGTGTGTATCTCCCTCACAGCATTGTCGCACAGCCCGAAGCCGATATAGGGAATCATGCCCCTGATGAGCACCAGTGCCAGCTGGTTGGACGTGATGCCCTCCCCTGCTGAGCCATCGGCTCCCGGGGCGGCATGGGCCCCTTCCCCCTGTCTGTCGCGCCAGGCCTTGAGCTGGTTGAGCTGGTGGTTCAGCTCAGACACCTTGGCCTGCTGAACCTCACGAGCCGGCAACACGATGCTGTTGTAGAAGTTGCGGAACTCCCGACGAGAGACGAACCCATCTGACACACACAAGGAAGGAACAACGATGCGCTGCGTGTGCTGAGCGTGGTGTGTGGTGGGGTGGCTTGCCTTTGTTGTCGTCAATGGTCTGAAATATCTGGTCGGCCTGGCACTCGTGTTCAACGGGGTGCAGCTGCCCGCCGCCCTTCCTCGCGCGCCACGCCTCGTCCTCCCGCACCTTGACCAGCGCACGCTCGAACATCAGCCGCTCGTCGGATGACAAACCCAGCACCAGCCGCTTCGCGTCATGCTCACTCGACACACCCACGTCCCCCGCCAGCCTCTCACGGAAAGGCGTCGCGCCCTCGTCCGTGTCGGCATCTGGCTCACCACGCCGCTCGGCTGCGGCTGATGACGACGACATCAGCCGACGGCTGACAAATGTGCCGTGGCAGCGGTGGTGGACTGGCCACCGCCGTGGCGGGTGGTGGTGGTGGAGAGAGGGAGGGAGGGGGGATCTTGGTGCGCGCGAGGCGCATGGTGCCTCTGCTGCTGACAGCTGGACACCTGGTGCAGTGACAGGTCGGCTTGACAGTGTCGTCCAGGCCGCCTCGGTCATCAATCTACCGTCGTCGGGAAAAGGGCACGGGGCAGATCCGCGCTGCTGCCGGTGGTGCAGACGCAGCAGAGGCAGCTGCTGGTGCCCATGCGATGGTGTTGATTTGGCCGCCGGGATGCTGACATGCCGATGCGGCCTCCTCCTGTAGTGGGACCACAGCTCATCGCGTGAAGGCCTTGCAAGCCTCAGGTCTCTCGCCAATCGCCGCATCGGCTACGTTGAGGCCCGAGGCCGCCTCCTCTCCTGTTGCCTGGGGAAATGATGTGTCGGCCCGCAGAGGTATAACCTCGGCTATAGCCTATTTGGTTTCTCAACCAATTGTTCTCAACAGGATCTTTCCTGAGGGAGGGCTGAGCTCGCAGACGATTGTGAGCTCGCGCGAGGAATGGAAACAATCAACTCATGTGCTTAATGCCGCGCTGTTTGCTCGCTCCCCGATTCAGGCACTGCAATGATCTGCCGTGACCATGGAAGATCCACACCTTCCGAGCACTTCCAGCGGCAGCAGCAGCACCGGCAGCGTGAGCAGCAGCTACTCTCTCCCTCTGTTAGTCGTCGCCAACCTCGCCCTCGTCGTCTTGTTGGCGATTTGCCTGCGGGCGGTCACATGGCTCTTCAAGAGGTTGGCCCGGGGCAGCTCAGACGCCTCCCCGCCCGTCGGCCGCGTGTGCGACGACGGCAAGAGAATCGTCAAGACCATGGTTGTGCTCGGATCAGGTCGGCCGGGCCGGGCAACCGACGGCATCCTGCAGTGAGTGCCACGGTTGGTTGATGTGATTGCTGCATGCAGGGGGTCACACGATGGAGATGCTGCAGCTGGTGCACCAGTGGCGGTTCGACGTGTACCGCATCACGTTCGTCATGGCCGAGACCGATCACACCAGCAAGCAGAAGCTTGGCAAACTCATCCACAGGACACGACACTTGCCCGTGAGTCAGATAGCAATCACTCACCCACTTAGTCAGGCAGGCAGGCCGGCCGGCCGCTGTGCGGGTGGATGGATGGATGGATGGACGGCAGGAGGAGGACATCGAGCGTCTGTTCTCCTTCCGGGTCATACCAAGGAGCCGGGAGGTTGGGCAGCCGTAAGAACCACAGACTGGCGGTCCTCTGCTCTGCTGTCATTTGATCTGGTTCCTTATATCGTGCGTCGAATGTGTGTGTGTGTGTGTGTGTTGGTGCAGGTGGCTGAGCAGCGGCTGGACGTCTTTGGTGAGCCTCTGGGCGAGTGTGAGGATGGTCTTTGACGACCCACCTGACCTGGTAAGGAACGAACGAATCAACGGGTCACTGAATGACGCTCATCCATCCGTCCATCCCTCCGTGTGTCAGGTGTTGGTCAACGGTCCTGGCACCTGCATCCCCGTGTGCTGTGCTGCCCTGCTCCACGAGGTGGGCGGCCGGGGGGCTGGGTGAGGCAGAGGCCTGCACACCACACCAGCCCACACTTCCACTTGTGTGTGTGCGTGTGTGTGTGTGTGCAGCTGGTGTGCTACCACCGTAAGAAGCTGGTGTTTGTCGAGAGCTTCTGCCGCGTCAAGAGTCTGTCGCTGAGTGGGCGGCTGCTGTACCCCCTGGCCGACGAGTTTATCGTCAGCTGGGAGGCTCTCACCCACAGATACACACGCGCCAAGTACCTGGGCGTCCTCTACTGACCGACTCACTATTCAGTTCTTGAGATGGCTGGCTTGGCTGCATGCCATGCCATCGACATGGGATGGTTGGTGGTGGGTCTAGCTAGGCGGCTTGGAGCGGCCTGGCTGGCTGGCTGGCTGAGGCATCCGTCCCGCCTGTCTGTCTGTCTGTCTGTGTGGGTCGATAGGGGCGTCGGTAGGTGACGTGACCTGAAGGAGAGAGGGGGGGGAGGGAGGGAGGGAGGGAGTGCACCAATGGACAGGTCAGTTAATTAATTCAGGTAGGTCACATGGGACACCCCTCTGCTTCGCATGCACCATCTAGATGTCTACTGCCTTCGTACGCACTGGCTGGCACACATCACACACACACACACACGACAGACGGACGGACGGACGCATCAGCCCCTCTGCTCAGCTCGATGACGAGCACAAAACTCACGCAGCCTCCTACAAGCCATAAAACCACACCCCTCTGGATGGATGGATGGATTGTGTGGTGTGGGTGGGTTTGTGTACCTGGCTGCTTCCGTGAGCTTGTCGAGAGGCGGCGAGAGGACCACCCGGACGTAGCCGGGGCTCTCGAAACACTGACCCGGCAACACAAACACAGACTCCTCTTCAACTGCACACACACACACACACACAGAGGGGTTTGTTCGTCTGGCGGTTTGTGTGTGTAATCAACCTACGCAGTTGTCTGCTCAAGTCGACATCGCTATCGAAGCCGAGCAGACCACAGTCGACACGCACCTGCACACACACACGCACACACCAAGAGAGACAGACAGAGAGAGAGGGCAGAATGTCTCTGCATGCAGCCAGGCCATTCATTCGTCAGTCAATCGGTTACCATGGCGTACATGGCGCCCTGAGGGGACACCACCTCCAAACCTTGCACACCTGACACACACACACACACGCGCGCAGTGGGGTGGGTGTGTGTGTCCGAGAGTGAGTGGCCGGCGACCTTTGAGTTCAGACGCGAAGACGCGGGCATGTTCCTCCAGCAGCAGCTGCACACACAACCAACAGCACAGACACAGAAGGCTGCTTCCGTCTGTCTGTCTCTCTGTATGTCGGCTGGTGCTCCGTGTGTGCCGTGCCTACCATGGTTTCCTTGTAGTAATCCTCGGGCGTCTCCATCAGCAGCCTGCCAACCACTCACACACACACACACACAAGCAGACCCGATCGACCACTGCTGGCCGGTCGCGGGTGGTGTGTTTGCTTAGGTCACGTTTCGACGACAGGCTGCACGAGGGAGCACGGCCCCAGGGTGACAGTGGCCAGCGTGTGCAGCCCACGACGCACCTGCGCACCCACACCACACACACACAGACATGCCATCCATCCAGCCATCCATCCATCCATCCAGCCAGCCAGCCAGCCACGAGTGAGTCGAGCCCCCTGCCCTGACCTGGTGCATCTTGCCGTCCCTGTCGTGGACGAGAGCCCACCCGACGCGCCAGCCCGGCACCATGTACTGCTTGGCGATGCCGCCCACCTCCAGCACCGGCACCGACGCCGACAGCGAACTCAGCGAGTGATACTCACACCCATCAAACACCTGACATGACATGACGGGGCCACCCAGCCATCCATTCATCCATCCGTCAATGAGTCAATGAGTCAACCAACGGGTCAATGGCGTGCAGTGGTTGTGTGACCATGTTGGCGTAAATCTCGTCCCCGACGATGGGCAGGTCGTATTTCTCGGCGACACCGATGACGTGTTGGAGCTGCGTGCGCGAGAAGACGCTGCCGGTGGGGTTCGCGGGGTTGTTGACCAGTATCGCCCGCGCCGTGCCTGACGAGTCGTCCTCGACGGCCCGCGCCAGGCTGTCCTGGTCGATGGCCCACAGGAGGCTTGTGCCGTCGGGCGAAGGCTGAGGCTTCAGGTCATAGTAGCGGAAGCCGATCTCTCGCTGACGGCACAGCTGCTCACACACACATACACACACAAGACGGCACAGGCAGACAGTCGGGCCCGTGCCTGGTGTGTGTGGATGGATGGAAGGATTCCTCACAGTGGCATATAGAGGGAATCCTGGACCGACCCAGGCAGGAGAGACAGAGGAAACACAGGCACGTTTGACGTATATGTCAGACAGTTAGAGAGATCGACTTGTGTCTGTCTGTCTGTCTGTGTGGCTGGCCTGCCACCCACCCACCCACCCCTACCAGGTCTGGGCAGTATGATGGCGTCTTTGTGCGGCTCAGCCAGCACACTGATGGCGAACTCCAGCGCCTGACTGCACCCCCACGTCAGCACCACATCCTCAGCCGTGCTGCATCCAAACACACAGACACACACACACACAGACACACACACACACACACACACTTGTGCAGCAGCGCGCCTCACTCACGCACATACGCACTTACAGCTGTCTGAGTGGCGGTGGCGGTGAGAACTTCTTGGCGACTGTCTCGCGGACGGCCGGGATGCCGGCCGAGTGGACGTAGCCGTTGTGCTCGAGGTCTTGCACCAGCTGGGTGAACCTCTGCTGTATCCTCTGGGGGGCCTTGAAGTTGCCGTAGACAGTGGGGTCTACCACACACACACACGGAGGGAGGGAGGGAGGCAGGAAGCTTGCACTGCGCGGTGTCTGCTGTGCTGTGCTTGCTGTCTGTCTGTCTGTCTGTCTAGCACCATACCTCCGATGGACAGGGGGATGCTGCAACGCCGCCCGGCCACACAACCAAGCAACCAAGCAGGCAGGCAGGCAGGCAGGCACAAGTTTGTTTGTCTGTGTGTGTGTGTCTGTGCGCGTGTGTGTGTGTGTGCGGGCAGCTCACAGTTCCTTGTTGGGGTTGGGAGTGGTGTGCATCCGGTCAACGATCTCACTGCACACATACAGACAGGCAGGCAGGCAGGCAGGCAGGCCCACAGGCAAAGCAACCACAGCAACCACACTTATTAATCGAATCAAGCATCCCTCCCTCCCTCTGTCCCTCCCTCCCTCCCTCGGTTGCTCCCTCCCTGGCGGACCGTATAGGGTTGGTTGTGCGCCCCACGAGGCTGGACACCCCTATCACATTCGACGCTCCGGATGACGATGCACTGTGCACCCTCCTCCGCACACACCGCAACAACCGTCCATCCACTGGCAGGCGACGTAAACCATCATCGTGATGCCGGCCCGCCAGCCCCCTCCTCCAGTGCCACTGCAGACGATTCACATCGTAGCCATCGACAGGCGGCGTGGGTGGATCACTGCGTGTGCTGTTGAGGTGTGTTGGCGGCGGCCGCCTCGATGGATGGGGCTGTGTGCGATGGCTGAAGGAGGCTGCGCGGGATGCTGCTGCAGAAGGCTCGCCAACGAGGGCCGGCCTGACAAAGGCTGACGAGCGCCAGTGAGATAACAGAGCCATGATGGATTCAAGAGGGTCAGCAAAGCACGAATCGATGAGGATGGATGCTTTGCTTCTTCGGTGCAGCACAGCTGGAGAGATCAATCAAGCCCCAGACCGAAATGGGCAGCTAGCTGCACATTCGCTGCTGGTCGGTTGGCTGGGTATATGCTTAGCTCCTGTCTTCTCCCTTTCGCTCTCTCTCCTTCTGAGCTCGCAGATGTGAAGATCGCTGGCCACCGTGCGCCTAAACTGTGTGATGTAGGAGCGTCGGCGGCTGAGCTGAGCTGGAGAAGCAGATCGTGGTGACCGCAAATGACGTCGTTCATCTGCACGGATGCGTCGCTACTGTGGACAGAGGTCAACCCCGTCGAACTGCTATACGAAGGTCAGCCAGCCAGCCACATCATCAATGATCCAAGCAGACAGACAGAAGATCGGTCGGCTGCATGGCATGTGTGGTTCGTGTTGTCTGTTTGTCTGTCTGTTTGTTTGTTGACCTGGTACACCAGGTCCTCAGAGCAGCTCGATAGTTCGTTTGCCGAAGGGTGTGTGGCTGGCGAAGAAGAGCCGCTACCTGGGGGTGTGGCGCCGGCGGTGGATGGTTATCCTCGACTCGCCCTGCGGCGGCGGCCAGCTGCTCTCCTACCGAACCTACATGGACTTCACGCCCAGCGAACGACTGTGAGTGAGGGATGAGCGACTGACTGACTGGAGAGATAGATGCCATGGCATGGATTGCAATCAGGTACATCTGGCCGGGCTGCCGGCTGACCGTGTGGGAGCGGCCGGTTCGGAACATCTGTGGGGGCCGGAGCAGCGAGACCTTGCGGACCATCGAGGTGATGTGAGCTGGGGCGGTGGGTGGGTGGGGAGGGAGGAAGCGAAGCGTGTGTGGTCATGGTCATGCTGTGTGGGGTGGGTGGGAATGGGTCGTTTGTCTGTGCAGGTTGCGGCATATCCGAGGACCGTCCAGTTCCACTGCTATGACGTCAGGGACTTCGACAAGGTAATGTACCTGCCCCCTCCCCCCTCCCAGACACACACATACACATACACACACACACGCACACACAGACTTGGTGTGAGCTCTCCATCCCTCTCCCTCCCTCTCTCTCTGTCTGTCTGTCTGTCTGTCTGTCTGTGCCCTGGTCGGTCAGTTCTGGAACCGCCTGGTGCGTGTGTGTGCCCCCAAGTGTCAGAACTGCGGCGGCCATCTCATGCTCTACTCCTCATTCGCCAGCATGATCCGCGACACACAACGCCCACACCCACACCCACACCCACAACAGCACCACCAGCACCACCAGCACCAGCAGCACGTGAGCCGATCGATGGCATGGGCCCGGAGGAGGAAACACGCGAGCGGGACGCCAGCCAGCAGTGGTGTCAGTGTGGGACTCTCCCCCCTGCTGACCCACCGCGGCTCCTCGCCGCAGCTGCGGTTCTCGTTCGCCTCGTCGCACTCACATTCGCACTCACAGGCAAGATCCAATCCACCCACACACCCACACACCCACACGCACACATGCGGGCTCTCTCCCCCTGTGTGTGTGTGTGTGTGTGTGTGTGTCTTGTGTGTCTTGCTTGACACATCTCGCAGGACGATTCCCGCGGTGACCGTCGTTCGCTGGCTTCCTACAGCCACACACTTCAACAGCACCACCGCCGGCAGGTCGCAAAGGTGCTCACCACCGCCCATCCCCCCTCACTAACGCGCCACTCGTCAGCCTCAGCAGCGCGGGAGAGAGACCGGCAGCACACCGCTGCCATTACCAACACGACCACTGCCACCACGGGCTCATCGGCTGGGTCATCGTCCATCCCTCTGTCGAGGTCAGACCCATCGCTGCGGAACCACCTGGTGCTGCCGATGCCACACCTACACCCACACCGACACACACCTGGATCATCATCCTGGCGGCTCCCGGGGCAAACCAGCCGCACCCCCGCCATGCGGCTGCGGACCTCCCTCGCCGCCCAGGGGCATGGGCATGTGCATGCCGCCAACACACAGCAGCAACGACAGCAAGAGCGGTCGGACGGCCCGGCGGTCCACCACAGCTCCAGCCACCCCGACCTCTGCCTTCGACTGTCGCAAGACCCCTCGTTCTTCTCCCCGGCGGAAGGCATTTGTGTGGGTGGTGGGCCTCGACCGGTGGTGCCCCGGCTAATGTCAATTCCTCCCGCGTCGAGGAGCGTGGCGAGTGCCCCGCTGGGCTCACCCGACGGGCTGGGGGGCGGCAGCAACGCGTCGCTGAGTGAGAGGGGCTCGCTGGCCCCGCTGACCCTCGAGCACGAGGAGAGCAACTCGAGCGCCGGGGGCTTCTCGCCCATCCGCACCACAAGTCAAAAGGCGAAGCGCAAGTCATCTGCCGGCAACCACACAGAGCTCCAGGCCATCAGCCTGGAAAAGATCGACGAGAGCCACCACGAGCACCTCGCCGACCACGGCAGCCGCACCCCCCAGCAGCAGCAGCAGCAGCATCGGTCCCGGACGCTCAGCCAGGCCACGTCCGTCTACCTCACTCCGCTGTCACACTCACAGACTGCGAGTGGTGAGGCGGGAGATGAGCATGACGGTGGGAGTGGGAGCGGGGGTGGGGGGGCGGGGCGGCTGCTGTTCCACCAGATCAACAGGCTGGTTGGGGTGGTCGAGCCCCCGCCGCCGCCACCATTCTCGGAGAATCATCAGACGGACAGCCAGCGATGATGTGCGTCTGTGTGTCTGTTGGGTGGGGGGCTTGGCTGGTGGGGGTGGGGGGCTCACGAGAGAGTGTAACTGTGTTGGATTGTCCTATGTCCTTGTGTGAGGGTCTCCCTCTCTGTAGACCTTTCTCTGTGTGTCTCTCTCGGTGGCTCTGAGGCTCTCTTTATTTGCGGGCGTCCGAACCGAACGTGTGTGTAGTGAGTGAGTGAGTGATTGCGTGTGTGTGTGTGGATGCGACCGACTAAGGCATGTTTGATCTGATAGCTGCGCACATTGATGCGTTGTCTCTCTCGTGCAAGTTAGTTAAGTTGAATGGTGTGACTGACGAGAGAGACCCACTCCTTCCTTCTAGCTGGCCGACTGATCCACTCACTCACCGAATGGTACCATACATCCGACGCCTGCCTCCCACCCTCCCGCCCTCCCTCGCTCACTCAAGGCAGTTTGTGTTTCTTCCCCCGCCCCTCATCGCTGCAGCTGCTGTCATTATGCCGCTTCCTCTTGTGCTGCTGCTTGTTGTCGCCGCCGTCATTCTCCTCGATGAGCTCCCCCAGCAGGTCGAGCCCTTTGCGGCTCTCACCCCGCTGGTCGAGTGCGGCACGCGCCTCGTCCAGCGCACCCCGGCCAACCACACGGCGGATCTGCAGCCAGCCAACACACAACACACATCCGATGGATGGATGGATGGATGTGCCAAGGTCCATCTCTCTCTCTCTCTCTCTGTGTGTGTGTGTGTGTGTGGTCTCACCTCGTGTGCAAGGTCAGGAGGGAGGTGTGTCTGCCTGAGCATCTCGATCAGGACGAACACGCCCCTCGTGGCCAGCACCCGGCCCACCCCCCGCCGCACCATCACCTCCCACACAGCGCGCTCAAATGACCCGCTACTCCCACTCTCCTCGCCACCATGATCGCTTTCACCTCCCAGCAGCAAGTCGTTTATTGCGTCTGTGTCGGCCGCCTCAATGCCTGTGTCGGGGCTGAAAAGCGTCTCATGATGCTGCTCCTGCTGGTGGTGGTCGGCTCGTTGCTTCAGGGACGCGTTGAGGCGCAGCAGTGCGACCAGGGTGAAATGGCCCACCCTGCACACACACGCACACACACACAGAGGGACAACGGGGAGGGGAGTGGAGTGTGCGTGTGGGTTTGCTCGTGGGTTGCTGATCTGGCTGCTCACTTGTCGCCGATTGTGTCTGTGTGGGGGTTGTCGGATGCCTGAAGTGAGTGGGCGAGCGAGAGGGAGGGACAGAGCAATCTCGTGTGGGTGGGTGGGGGGGGGGTCACTATGACCCGTTCACGCGCTGACCTCTTGCCGCATCTCGTCGAGCATCCTCCGAACCACAGCAGCGTCTGACACACAGAGGCAGGCAGACAGACAGGCAGACAGGTGAGCTCACGAACGACACTCCGACCATAACACACCACACACCACGCCACTCACCCCGTGTGAGCCGAAGATACTCGATCAGCACGTCACGCGCACTGCACAGATAGATAACACCACATAGCACAGCATAGCATAGCACCCCTCTCTGTGTGTCTGTCTGTCTGTCTGTGTGTCTGTGTGTCTGTCTGTGTGTCTGCTGTGGTAGTGGGGGTGGGACGTACTGTGCGTGAGTGAGCCAATCGACAGATCGAGAAGGCAGCGACGGGACACCACCACCTCCACCACCATCACCACCAGCGGCAGCGGCAGCCGCCGCCGCCTCCTCCTCCTCCTCCTTCCCCTTCTCATGCTCATGCTCATCCTGTCCACGGAGCAGCCGCAGACCTTTCTCCTTCCGCGCCTGACACAGAGAGACAGACAGAGAGACACACAAGAAACACAAACACAGACACAATTAGAGGGTCTCCCCCTGCCCTGGCAACCCTCTGGATAAGCTAAGCTTGCCTTGTGTTTCTTCTGCTCTTCGGCTTGCTCGGGGGTTGTGGCTGCGGCTGCGGCTGTGGATGGCTGTGGGTGCAGGATGGCGTCATGAAGCCTGGGTATGAGGGCTTGGAGGAGCTCCTTCCGCCGCTGGAGGGGGTCCTTGACACTGTGTGAGACACACACGCACATAGACAGACAGAAAGACAGACAGACAGGGATGGAGGGTGTCATTTCGTCGATTCATTCAGTCACTCATCGTGTGTGTGTGTTTGTTTGTATGTGTTATATGTGGGGGTGGAGGAGAGGGGGTGGTGTGGCCTTTGCTCAGCCAAGGCTGAAACGAGTTGTCTACAGTGACCTAAGTGGGCCCCTTCGGTAGAGGTAATCGTGTGCTTCATCACAGCGATCGCCACCCAACCCCCTCTCTCTGTGGCTGCCTCTCCCCCTCTCTCTCTCTCTGTCTCTCTCTCTCTCTCTCTCTCTGTGTGTGTGTGTGCGCGGAAGGTCGTTCAGTAGTGTTTGAACTCTCAGCTCAGCGGCCAGCGAGAAGCGAGCCGGTCGGATAGAGCTAATACTAACGAATGCATCATCACAACCCTCCCTCCCTCCCTCCCTGCCTCTCTGAGGGTGTTGTGTTCCCTCCCACCGACCCACCCACCTCGCCGGCGCGTCGGCCGTGAGCAACAGCCTCTCGTGAGCGTTGAAGTAGTGCGGGCTCAGCGGGCACAGCACCTGCAGTATGACCTTCTTGCCGTACTTGTCGAAGCACACACGCGACAGTGAGGGGAATATGTCCTGATTGTGACACACATGAGGCGTGCAGGGGTGGGTGGGTGGATGGATGGGGTGGTGGGTGTGCTGCACCTTTAGGACGGTCGTGTTGAGCAGCACAGTGTCGTCCACCTGAATGAACACCCACACACCCACACACACACATGCACTTCAGGACCACACTACTCACGATGTGCTTATTTATCATACGATCGACAGCAGCCGCGCTATGAGCAGGTAGTCCGCCTGGTTGGTGGCTAGCTCGGCCATCTGCATACACACAGATGACACCACACACACACACACAGGGAGAGCGAGAGAGAGAGAGATTCACTTGCTCCCTCCCCCCCTCTCTCTCTCCCATGCGAATGTTGTGCAGCAGACTGACTGACCCCTCTGGCTTTGATGCTCTTGACGAGTTTCTTCCTCTGCTTGGCGGTCGCCACACCCACCATACGCACCAGCATCTGTGGACGCGCAATGGGATGGATGGATGGATGTGTGTGTGTGGGGGGGAGGGGGGGGGGGCGGTGTGACCTCTCTTACCTCTGTGCCCTCCTTCGACTCGAGCAGGTGTGGCGAGCCGTCCTCCAGCCGCTCGTAGTAGTCCGCCAGCTGCTCGGCACTCGCGTGGCTTAAATGGTGCAGAGCACACACACATCATCACACACTTGTGTGTGTGTGTGTGTGTGTGAGTGTGTGTGTGTGGGTCGGTGGTTTGCCTACACGGTGAAGTGTCTCAGCAGGTGGTGCACGATCACCTTGTCCAGCAGCTCCTTGTCCACACACCGCTCAAACACCTTAGCCAACGAATCTATCAACCACACACACACGCACGCACACACTCGACACACTAAGGTTGCCTGCCTGCCTGTGCTACTTACCCATGAGGAGCTGCCTTTCGGCTGGCGGGATGGCGTCAAAGAGCTTTGCGAAGGGGACATCCTGCACCGAGGGGAGGCTCAGCTCAATCGTCCGCGGCAGGACCAGCTTGTAGAGCATCCCACGCTGCCTAACCCGACAGACAGACAGACAGACAGACAGACAGAGGTGTGTCCGGCCGGGTGTGAGTGTGTGTGTGTCGGTGACTTACTGTTTGCTTGAGAGGTCCATGCAGTAGATATACTCCCACACAGTGGCGCCATACTGACAACCAAGGCAGACACTTACACACGGATGGATGGATTGACACACACACGTCCCCATCCACCCCCACCCCACCCCGCCGCTCACCTTGGAGTAGAAGAGTTCGGGGTGCGCCATGAGCCCCTTGAGTATGTGGGCCTTCTGCTCTTTAGACCCATACAAGTAGCACTTCATGACAAGCTTGTGCGCCAGCTTGCCCTCCAACATGCGCACCACCTGATCTGTGTCGAAGGACACAGACAGACAGACAGAGAGAGATGATGCCGCTGCTGCTGGTGTTGGTGGGGGCTGTGCTGTGCTGCGCTGTGCTGTGCTGTGGGGCACTGCACCTACCTTTGTGTTTGAGTCTGTCGACGATCTGGCGCTGCTGCTGTGGGTTGCCAAACTTGAGGCAGGCCTGGATGGCCCGCCACACGGGGGCGCTGTTGGTCATCTGAACACCATCCCACACACAGCAAAACACCACACACACTCGTGTGGCCTGGTGGCGTGTGTCATGACACACGTGTTGTTGACCTTTTCCATGTCTTTGTCGATATGGGCCATGAGCTTGGCCACCTCGTCGGGCGCCTTGTCGTGTGTCTTGTGCGCGCCCAACACACCAGCATACAGCAGCTGAACCAACCACACAAACACACACACACACACACACACACACATGGACACAGACACAGACACAAATGAGAGCCTCCCCTCCCCCACCCCAGCCGCCACACGAGGCCTACATTGCATGTGTGTGCGAACTCATAGTCGCCCTTGAACCGCTTGAGCCTCTCCTTGAGCACCCACTTGCGCTGCTGCGACTTGGACAAACCGTCGGGGGGACGAGGCCGCGCCTTCCTCTTCGCCACACCCACACCCACCACCCTCCTCCCCTTTGGCCCACTCGATGACGATTGCGACGCATCTCGGTTCCCTTGATCAGTGGCCTTATTGGGCTGCTGCTGCTGCTGTTGCTCATGCTGTTGACGGGGTGTGGAGGGGGATGGCAACTTCTTGTTCGCCTGTTGGTGCTGCTTCTGCTTCTGCTTCTGCTTCTGCTTTGGCTTCTGCTTTGGCTTGGCTCTCTTGTTGGTGGCCATTGGGCCCTTGATGCCGCCTCTCCCACCGACTCTCCCCTTTGTTGCTGCCTTTTGAATGGGTTTCCTCGGGCCACTGCTGCTGCTGTTGGCGGCCTTGTCGCCTCCTCTCCCTCCTTTGGAGCCTCCGCCCCTCTCGTTGCCTCTGATGCTCGTCTTGCGCATGATTTGATGCTCAGCGGGATCTCTGGCTGTCCTCACTCATCAGATCTCGTCCTGGTGTACTCGCGCAAAGATGAGAAAGGAAAGCGCTACATGAGTAGATCGCCGCGAAGGGTCGGGTTTCAGGGTTCCGGGGTTCAGGGTTTCTTCTGGCCTCCTTTTCCGGTTTTGCCGCTCTTCTTACCAAGATCTCCGTCACGTAACACAGATATCGGCACCGGCATGCAACCACTAGACGTGAGAGCATGTTGCGACACAGATATCGGCACCGGCATCCAGCCACTAGACGTGAGAGCATGTTGCGACCCGTCAACAGGCTGATTGTCGAGGAAGCCGTCAACGATGACAACTCTGTCGTCGCACTCAACCCGACGCGCATGGAAGGTGAGCACACCTCGGCTGAGTGTGACATTGGATGGCGTCGCTGTCGGGTGTCTGTCTATTCATGTGATTGATTGATCAGACCTGAATTTGTGGCGCGGCGACACAGTGTTGATCAAAGCCGATGAGCGCAATACGGTGTGCATCGTGTTGGCCGACACAGAAGACCTCGACGAGGGCAAGATCCGCATGAACAAGGTCATACGCAAGAACCTACGGGTGTTGCTCGGCGACATCGTGTCCATCTACTCAGCCGGCGATGTCGCTTACGGGAAGGTACGCAGGTCGGGCGAACTGTGACGGTGCACCCACTACATGGTCTTCCTCTCTGTCTGTGTGTGTGGTGTGTCGGTCAGCGCATTCACGTGTCGCCCTTTGCCGACACGATTGAGGGCCTCACAGGCAACTTGTTCGACACGTACCTGAAGCCCTACTTCACGGAGGCCTACCGGCCCTTGCGCACGGGGGACACGTTTCTTGTGCGCGGCGAATTCCGGCCCGTCGAATTCAAGGTACACACAAGACAGACATAAAGGATAGCCACAAGTGTGTCCTTTGTAGGTAGTGGATGTGGATCCTGGTGAGTTTTGCATCGTCGCGCCGAACACCGTCATCCACTGCGAGGTGTACATACACACACACGCACACACACACACACACACGCACAGGCAGACTGGCCCCTTCTTCTCTCACTCACTGAGTCAGTCAGTCAGTCAGTCTCTGGGCAGTAGGTAGCCATCCCTCCCTCTATCTACTGCTCGCCACCTCATGTCATTCGCGTCTCGTGTGTCGATGTGTGTCATCAGGGTGAGGCTATCATCCGCGAGGACGAGGAGAGGCTGGACGATGTGGGCTACGAGGATGTCGGGGGCTGCCGCAGACAAATGGCGCAGATCAGAGAAATGATCGAAGTCCCACTGGTGAGCCGCCACACCGAGTGAGCCTGTATGTTGTAAAGTGCTCGGTCACTTTCACGCAGCGCCACCCCAGGGTTCTCCAGAACTTGGCTAGGAAGCCGCCCTGCGGTGTGCTGCTGTATGGACCGCCAGGTACACACATATGCACACGCACACACGCGCGTATGCAAACACACCCAGCTGCCCTCGACCACCAAACATCACTCTCTCTCTCTCTCTCTGTGATTGGCTGTATGTGTTAACCACCATGGTCGTTCAGGGTGCGGCAAGACTTTGATAGCGCGTGCCGTTGCCAACGAGACAGGTGCGAATTTCTTCCCCATAAACGGGCCCGAGGTGATATCCCAGATGGCCAACGGTGTCACGATCCTGCGGCGCGCCTTCGAAGAGGCCGAAAGGAACAGCCCCGCCATAGTGTTCATCGACCACATCGAGTCTATCGCACCAAGAGGCGACCAGATCAATGGAGAAGTCAGTCAGAGACAAAAGAAACATCGTGGTTAGCCACATATGTGCGCTCGCCCGAGCTGTGTATAGGTGGAGCGCCGCGTGGCGTCGCAGCTGGTGACACTGATGGATAGGGTCAAAGAGCGCCAACAAGTGGTGGTCTTTGGTAATAAGACAAGAGACAACAAACGTACATGCTCCCACAAATTATGCAGCAAATGCTGTGCTTGGCTTCGTTGATCAGCGGCGACCGACCGGCCAGACAAGGTTGATATGGCGCTTCGTCAGTTTGGGCGTTTTGAGCGCGAGATCAGCGTCGGGGTGCCAAACTATGATGGTCGCCTGGAAATCCTCAGAATCCACACGCGCGACATGAAGCTCCACGAGAACGTCAGGCTAGAGGACTTCGCTACAAACACGGAAGGATTTGTGGTAAGTCGAAAGCCTGTCACTTACCAGCCACGCCGCTTATGCGCACTACGCAGGGAGCGGACCTGGCGCAGCTGTGCAGTGAAGCAGCATCTCAGTGCATCCGTGAGAAGATGGATTTGATCGATTTTGAGCGCGAGATCGACGCTGAGGTCCTGGACAGTATGGTCGTGACGCAGAAGCACTTCAACAGCGCGATGGGTACGTGCAACGCCTCGTCGCTGCGTGAGACCGTCATGGAGGTGCTCCAGACCGTCTTACGCAAGATGTGGTGTGTGAGAAGGTTGCGTGCGCCGGCCTTTGCGGCCCGTGAGGAGCAGGACAGGAACATCGCGCGGTCAGGCAGGCACCAACAATGCACGTGGCCTGCCAGAGTCACCTTATGTCCCCCCCAGCATGTACCTGTTAACCTGCTGCTGCTTCTTCACAGTGCGGTCGACAACAACGGTGACCTCCGTCAGCAAACGGCCGAGTGAGGAAGACACACTTCTCCCAGCAGACACACGCTTGTATGTGCGCTGTCTTTCCATGGCAGGCTGCAAGAGAGACTTCGCGTGGCGGACGGCGACAAGCGCCAACTGGAGGCTGACAAACGGTGAGTGAGGTCAGGAGCACGTGTAAATGACCAAAACACTCGTGTGTGAACTTGTTGCTGCATTGCAGGGCCTCGGCTGCTAGAGAGGAATCTCTCAGACAAGAGATAGCCAGGTGGGACAAAGGCGGCGCACACACGGTGACAGGGCATGCCCTCTATTCTCTCTGTCTGTCTCGGTCAGTCTGCATGAGAGCAGTCGGGCGCTCCAGGCCGACATTGAGGAGCTCCGAAGCCATCACATCGACAAGTAATACAAATAGATTAACACAGGAAGATGGCAGCCACTGATTTCGGTCTGCCTCTCCATGTGTATTGTGTCTTTCAGGTTGACTGAGACGTTTGAGGGCTTGACTACCAAGGAGGAGGTGATGGGCTTCGCCATGCAGCTGGCTGACCGACTGACCACCATCACCACCACAGAACTGCCGCAACTCCAGGCCCTCCTCACCAGAGCCCAGCACAAGACGCGCGAGATGGGCGAGGCCGAACTGCGCCAGCAGATGCAGGAACAAAATCAGCAGGGAAGGGTTGAGGCCGCCGCGTGCCTGATATGCCAGGAAAGGGAGCGGCGCCTGGTGTTGCGGCCGTGCAACCACTTCTGTGTGTGTCAGGATTGCGCCACACAGCTGGAGGATTGCCCCATGTGCCGCCAGCCCATTACAGGCTGGAGTACCGCCATTCTGTCGTGATGGATAGGCCAAGTCACTCGGTGTATTGTTGGGAGGGTGAAGGGGGGTAAATGGCATTTGTGAATCAACCAGACATTCAGACAGAGAGGGTGGAGGGCGTCGGTGTGTTTGCACGTAGTCGTGTGGTGGGGATTTATTGCATCTGGTGTTTATCTGATTGCATCTGATTTTTATGTGACTGATGCGTGGAGGCTTTTTATCTGCCTTGTTATTCACGTGCCTCGAGCTTCTGTGTGCCGATGCAGTTGTAAGTGTCACGTGCAAGTCTTGTCAGCTTGTGCAATGTCTTGTCAGTGTAAGTCCTCAACTGGCCGATATTGTGGCCAACATGAGGCGTGGACCATTCAACGTCTGCTTGCATGAACAAAGCTTGTCAGTCAAGTCTCGTCGCATTCACGCCTTAGACACACCCTCTCACAAGACAAAGCCAGCTCCGAAGAGCACCCTATCTGTCTGCCTGTCTGAAGCGTGAGGCCAGTGAAGACCCTCGAGATTGTGTGTCTGGTGGTAAGTCAGTGGGTGGGTGTGCGGGGCCGACAAAAACGTTCTTCGCGAGTCGATCCTCCCACGGGTCCAGGCCGCTGCTCTCGGACATGCCGGCCGTGTCGTTGGCTTGGCGGATGCCGTCGACCAATCGCTTGGCCATGTCTGCCTGCTCCTCAGGGAGGCTGGGAAGATGATTGTAGGCGGCGAAGGTGGCCATGGCGCCAGGACGGGGAGGGGGAGAATTGGAGTGCGGAGGGGCCGCCCCGGTGAAGACTTTTGTCGGCCATCGGTCGCGGCGCCGCGTTTTCGTTCAGGTCGACGACTGAGGGGTCGGTCACGGACTTGTCGAGGCCGGCGATCTTGAAGGGTACAACACAGGCGCCATCCTTGCGGAACGACATCAAAACCGTCTGCATGCAGCTACATATGTAACAGGCAGGCAGGTTTGGTTAGTTGGTGTGCTGACTGACCACTTGTGCGTCTGTGTTGTTGACGGGGACGACGAATGAGTGAGCGGTCACCCCGTGGGCGGCCGGGACAAGCACGTAGTCTTCATACACCGAATCGGCACCGTCAGACTTGGCACTCGATCGCCCGTACACCGTCCTGCATGCCATGCGGTCAGTGAGTGACACACACGACACAGATGAAAGGATGTGGGCAATGCAGACAGACGCACGTGTGGGTGGGACCTCAATCATCGTCTTATGCCTGTCTGTCAGCCTGTTCGTCTGTCTGTGTGTCTGTCTGCCTGTCTGCCTGCCTGCGGATGCGATGTGTATCCACCGCACCGAACCGCACCCACGTACCCATTGTGTGTGTACTGTGGGCCACCCCCTGTGCAGACTTGCCGCAGCCGCAGGTGCGTGGACCTCACTCATCTCATTCATCACGCCTGCATCGAATGCATTACAGAACAAACGAGAAGTGAAATCTCTACCACAGACAGTCTGTGTGTGTGCATCTGATCTGTCTGTGTGCGGCGCTGCTCGACGGACCCGTAAGCTTAACTAGACTCCTCCTCGACACACGCATCTGCCAAACCAATTCACGCACACAGCTCCCGTCGTCATGGATCTTTTGTACCTTCTTCCTCTGATTCAGCTCTGACTCAAATCCCAACACCCCTTCCAAGGGCGGGAGAAATGCCGAAGATCAGCGAGCTAAGCCGAAAATGGATCGCCGAAGAATTCGGGAGCCGACTGTCCACGCAGAGAAAGGGCGCGTGCAGGCCTCCCACACACGCAGGAAGCCGGCAGGGCCACCAGCTCGAAGAGATCTCTGAGATCTGTCACATCCAGTTGTTTGTCTTTCCGAAGGGGCGGCCAAGACAATTGCCAAGACAACAACCAAGGCATCCATCAATCCCTCCCACCCTCACTATTAGCTATGACGAGCCTGATGGGTCTGATCCCGTTCCGACTCGGTCGCAGCTTCGCGTCTTCAGTGCAGCGTTCACAGCGCATCGACGTGCACCACTTTGGGTTCGTGCTGGTGCCGCAGCAGACGGCGTGGGTGGTGGAGCGGTTCGGCAAGTTCAAGACGGTGCTGGAGCCGGGGCTGCACTTCCTCATACCGCTGGTCGACAAGATATCTTACATACACAACCTCAAGGAGGAGGCCATACCCATTCCCAACCAGGCAGGCTGTCTGACTGGCAGGCAGAGAGAGAGAGAGAGAGAGAGAGTGTGCGTGTGTGTGTGTGTGTGTGTGTGTTTGGTGTGTTGTGTGGTCAGACTGCGATAACGAAGGACAACGTGACGATACAGATCGACGGCGTGCTTTACGTGAGGATTGTCAATGCCTATGAGGCATCCTATGGCGTCGAGAGCCCCATCTATGCGCTCACACAGGTGAGGAGGGGCACAGCAGACCGGGGGCAGGGGAGCAGGCGATCACGTCCATTCATCGGTTGGTTGATGTGTTGATCGAATCGCTCAGCTCGCCCAGACCACGATGCGCTCAGAGCTGGGTGGGTGGGGGCAGTGCAGGAAAGAGCAAGGCCGTCCATTCGTCCCTGTGTGTGCCGTGTGGATGGATGGATGGATGGATGGATGGATGCAGGCAAGCTGACGCTCGATAAGACCTTCCAAGAGAGGGACTCGCTAAACCTCGGCATTGTCCAGGTATGCTGCTAGATGGAGGGCCATCAGGCACCGAATGAAGCCCTTATGCGTGTGTGTGTGTGTCTGTCTGTGTGTGTCAGGCCATCAACGATGCAGCGTCTTCCTGGGGCATCAAGTGCATGAGATACGAAATCCGTAAGCAGTACACAGCGCACACAAAGACAGGCAGCGGCTGCATGACATGGCGTCGATTCGCTTGCCTGCGGGGTCCAGGTGACATCGTGCCCCCGAAAAGTGTCCGCCACGCCATGGAAATGGAGGTGAGCCGACCGACCCCAAAGACATACAGACAGACAGACCGACCGACCGACAGACAGACAGACGACATATGTCTGTCTGTCTGTCTGGATCGCTTCCGTCCAGGCGGAAGCCGAGAGGAGGAAACGAGCAGAGATCCTGCAGGTGGGCGTGCGGGTGAATTGGTACAGATCAATGGATCAGCGGATGGATGGTGTGTGTCATGTGTGCAGAGTGAGGGCGAGCGCGAGAGCGAGATCAACATCGCCACGGGCCGCAGCAGATCCGTCATACTACAAGCAGAGGTCAGCCAGCCCGCCAGCCAGCAACGCTGCCCCCCCACAGATGCTGTGTGTGTGTGTGTGTGGTTCAGGGTGAGGGCGAGGCGATAAGGCAGCGCGCCACGGCCACAGCCGACGGCATCAACCAGCTCTCCAAGGCCATCCTCCAGTCGGGCGGACGGGACGCAGTCGCACTCAGGATCGCAGAACAGGCAGGCACACACACCCCACTCACAGAAGGCAGACATGTGCGTGTGTGTGTGTGTCTGTGTGTGCGTATGTGCAGTACGTGGCTGCCTTTAGTCGGATAGCCAAGGAGGGCTCCACTATGATCATCCCCGCCAACGCCTCAGACCCCGCATCGATGGTACCTTCTTTCCCTCACTGACACGCAGCTCCCTACACATGGATCCATCCATCCCTGTCTGTCTGTCTGTCTGTCTCGCGTGTGTGGTGTGCGTGTGTCAGGTCGCCCAGGCGATGGGCATCTACAAGACCATCTCCCACGCCGGCCAGCCCACCTCAGTCCCGCCACCATCGTCGGCCCCCGGCCCCCCAGCAGCAGGAGGAGATGAGCACGGCAGTGTCGTCGACTCTTTGGCCCCGCAGTCCACCTCCTCTTCGCTTGAGGGAGTGGGGGAGAGGCACTCCGACTGACTGAGGCCAACCGATGGATGGATATGGCTGCAGCTAGGGACGATCTGGTCTGTCTGCTTTCGTGACGCGTTTGTGGCTGTGGATACAATACATTCAAGGTGTACATTCAATCGCTTGTGTGGCGGAGAGGACACTGATTGCATCGCGCCGTGTCGATGAATCAATCAATGAGCGCTCGTGTGTGTCGGGACGGAAAAAGAGTTAGCTACACTCACTCATGTCTGTCCGTCTGGGGGTCTCTGCCCCGAGCTCGTATTCGCCACATACCTACGGTACACACATGACATGTCAGAACCAAAAAGATCGAGCCGGCAACTCTCTCCCTCTCTCTCTCGCTCAGTCAGTCGCAGGCAGAGGATAGGAAAAAGCTCAAGGCCACACAGACAGCCACTGACTAAGTAGGCGTCGTGCGTGTGGCTCCTCTCTCTCTCTCTCTCTCTCCCTCTCTCTGTGACCCATACAGACACATACACACACAGATAGACAGACGTATGTACAAAAGATGTCAGTCGGAAAAACAAGCAAACCATCCGGTGGCTCCACGCACTCCCCGGCCGGCCCATCCCACCTTCCTTACTGATCGATCCACTCAGTCTTGTCGTGTTTCGTTGAGGGAGGGACGCTCTCCCTCTTGGCTCCCTCACTCATCAATCTATCTAATAGATACGATACCAATCTCTTCCTAAGCAACATACGCCCTCGTCTCTTTGCCTCTGCCCTGCACCGAAGTCTCATCTCATCCGAGCACCCAACCCAGATTAGATGTGTGTGTACGTGTCCAGTCACTCGCTTGGCAACAATTCGTAGTACTCCTGAGAAGACACACACACACACACACGCAGGCACACACACAGCCGTGTCCCTCCCTCTTGTTGGCCGCAGAAATGACCATATATACATACCATCTGCAGCTGGCGCTGCTCCTCCCTGCGCCAGTCGATCTCCTTCTCAATCTCCCTCAGCTGGTTGGCGTAGAGGATCTTGCGCCACGGGAAGAACGACAGCAGCGTGTCCTTCTGCTCCCCCCCGATCACCCCCATGATCTCGGCCTCCTTCCGCTTCAAGGCGTCGATCTCAGCCTGAAGGTGGCCATACTTGGCCAGCGCCTGACATATGGTCAATTGAGGGAGGGAGGGATAGATGGATGGTCACACACACACAACACAACACAGCACAGCACAGCACAGCACAGCCGTGACAGCGATGCTTTCCATGTCTGTGTGTGCCAGGCGCGTGTGCGTTGCCTTACATTGGTCTGGTCCCCTTGTGTGTGGGAGAGGAGTGGCTGGGGTGGGGTGAGGCGTGTGCGTATGTGTGTGGCGTGGGGAGGGCAGAACGCCGTGCTCAGCGAGAGATGCAAGAGGGCGACAAACGCCACAGACGGTGCCATCGATGAAATGGAAAGCCGGGCGGGTCTGGAACTCAGTGACAGATGCGATGCCTGCACACATGCGCAATAGACATCAATCAATGTCAAGGAGAAGATGTAGGTGTCCTGCTGCTCCCTGCCACGTGCTTACGTGTGTTTTTGCTTGTGCGGTCGTGCCAGTGGTTGGTTGGTTAGTGTGTTTAACGAGACTCGTGTCTGTAACCCCGGAGGGATCCTGTTGTCTCACGCACTAAACTAGCAGCATGTACATGCAAAGCATGCACACGGCCTGTCTACCCCTCCCTGCACTGGCACCGGCGGACAAACAGATGGCAACAGAGAGCACTGGCTGCCTTATAGAACATTGACAAACACCGATTCCGGCTACATACACAAGAACGGGCGCTGTCGCCCAGCAAGAGCCATGGCAAGTGTACAGAAGCCAGAAGGGGGAAGTAGAAAAATGAGCGCCCTCTGAACCACCAAAGCAACAATCAGCCAATCACATGAATACACCACCATACACACACGGGACCCATAGGGAAGGAAGAGAGGAAGATAGCAAAGGGAGAGAGAAGGAAACAGTTAGTCAGGCCATGAGGCCCTGCAACATATGATAGACAATACCTAAGGTGCACTCCATCCCTTC